TTATGTAAAATATACGTAACATTAAATAAACAGGTGTCTGACCAATAAGTGCCCGCATTGGGAATAAGTGCCCGCATTGAAAAAAATATAAGAGAGAGAGATAAAATAAAAAAAAGTGAAAAATAATAAAAAAAAAGTTTTTTACTTAAAATAGTACAATAAGCGAGTTCGTTTATTAATTATAACATAAACGTGTGTTCTACAATAATTTCACTGTTAGTTTGATTATATTCCGCTTCTTATACGTTTAAGTTATCTAAAAATAGGCAAAAAAATAACGAATTTTAGTGTGTACCTATCCTTGAATTTTCAGAATAATTTAAAAAAAATATTTTCTATAAAGGGGGGTTCTTTAAAAAATCGATGCGGGCACTCATTCCCAATGCGGGCATTTATAGGTCAGACACCAATAAACATAAAATAAACTATACATAAAATAACATAAGCAATAAGTCAATATTTTTAGTGAGAAGGATGAACCTGATGCTTTAATAATAAATTATCAACATTTGGCGACAATTTTGTAAGGGTTAATCTTAAATCTCCTCGGCTAATGATGTCCAGTCTGTTTCTTTTTTTCGTTAGGAGATTTGTAACAGCGCTGACCCCCCTTTCCACTAGGTATGACGATGGAAAGGAAATTAGAAATTTCCTCGCTATATTCCATAATACGGGATAAGTAACGGGTATGTTGTTTTGCAACCAGAATTGCTGATATCCGTTTTTAAACTGAACCTTAAGTTCTTCGTTTGTACTTAGTTCAGTCAGTTCCTCTTGTATTATGACATTCGTTTCTTCTATGTCACCATATGGATTAATTATCCACGGTGGTATTACCATAGTCAAAATATCCTCAACCCTAGATTCAAAATCTGAATAGAGGGCATTTAAATGTTGAACGTAAGTTAAAACTTCGTCTTCCTGCAGCTTGTCTGTGACAAATTGGGGAACTGAGAAAATTCGCCCCGTCCAATATTTTGCTTCATTAGTTTAACTCTGGCAAGAAACGCTCACAACATGGACTTTGTTTTAATTAAATTTAAGCGGTCGCCTTGTAATTGCAAATTGACCATATTAAATTTTGTAAACAAATCTGTTAAATAGGCGATGCCTGTTTTCCTCTTCATTAAATTTTCTTTTAAAATTTTATCTTTAGTATCCAGAAATTCTAAAATAGTTTCAAAAAGGGCAAAAAATCTTGTCAAACATAAGCCTTTCGACAGCCAGCGTACTTCAGTGTGAAGGAGTAATTGATGAAGGTGTTCGTCATTTTCTTCACACAACTGCGCAAATAACCGCGTATTCAACGCGTTGCTTCGGATTCGGTTTACTGCATGAATGACTAAATGAAGTGATTTATGCTATCTAACACTCAAATTTTTAGCAACTAAATGCTGTCGATGGATGACGCAATGTGTTGCTAACACCCCTGACACATTTTGTTTTAAATAGCTTATAAATCCACGATAACGTCCAACCATGGCAGGTGCTCCATCTGTAGCTACTGATATTATTATATTTGATAAAGAAATTGCTTTTTCAATGAAGTAATCCTTCAAAACATGAAATATTGATTCACCTTTAGAGTCGGTTATCAAAGTTCTTGCGAAGAGCAGTTCTTCGTAGATTTCTTGATTCATAATAAAACGAACATATGCCAATAATAATGCTGCATTATCAGGTAAAGTTGACTCGTCCAGTTGTATAGAGAAATGGGTCGTTTGCAAATAATTACATAAGAAACTTTCAATATCAAAACTCATTTCATCAATACGCCTTTCAACAGTATTGTTGCTTAAGGGAATTCTTTTAATGATATCAGATGAAGGTTTGTGTAAAACAGTTTTTAAAACCTCTTCAACGGCTGGCAGAATTAACTTCTCTCCGATAGTATGCGGTTTTCCGGATTTTGCTATAAGTAACGAGATATTGTAAGACGCCCGCAAACCATCATCATTTCTTTGTGACGTCGAAGCGAACATTCTGTCCAGTGTAGGTCTCTTCTGAAATTTATCTTTGAGTGTTTGAAAGTATTTCAAATCTTTCTCTGTTTTATTAGATGATCTTGCAGTTTAGATGGTTTCATAGCGTCATTGCCCAAAACTTTGTTGCATAAAAGGCACATAGGCGATTGTTTGTCCGGCAATGATGGAATGAAGCCAAATTTCAAATAATCAACACTGTACTGCCTACATTTCTTTTTAGATTCGGACATGGCGTCAGTCATCTGTGGGCAAAATTAAATTATTTAAATCAGACAGAAAATCCAGCAGCTGTATATTAAAAATATTTTTTGATTTTTCCGAAAACATTCCATAATTCGAACATCTTGCAACAATTAGCTCCAATTGCGGAGATTGCACTGTACTTATATTACCGATTGCTAAAACTTTCAAAAAGAAACTATATTGAGGAGTACTCGTGTAATTTTGCATGATTGAATATTTAACTCATAATAACTAAAGTCATGATTGGCGTAATTTATATATCACTGCTAACTACGAGTACAAAACTAAAATTTAATAAAAAATAATGTACTTACTTTTCTCCAGCACTCTCAAACAAAATAACACTGACTCACTATAATTTGTGTGATATACTATCTGTTTATATTTTTTAAAATATTTTCTTAGCACTTTCCTTTTCAAGATTCAGGAAACGAATAAACGTATTTGTCCCACATTCGTATTTAATAGAGTGACGAATTGAACAAGTCAGTGCAAGGTAGCGAAGCTCTGAGACTGCGACTCTCAGGTTTTTACAAGTTCAAAATGTATTGCGACCACAAAGCGAATACCAACATTCTATAACTTACACAATTTTATAAACATATATAATAATTTTTTACTTCATAGGTACTTTTATAAATAATGTATATGTTTTGATATTGTAAGATAGTATGATGTAAGTAAATAGGTACTATCAGTGTATGTGTTGAGATCCACTATCGTGGACCCCTTATTCATTTCGTGGACCCCCAATTTTTTTTTCGCTGACGTAGACCCCTTGCAGGTTGTCATAGACCCCTAGGGGTCCATATAGACCACTTTGAGAATCAATGGTCTAGACGAAATCCTGAGTCCGCCCTTGTATCTGGATAGTTTACACGCTACCCAAATTACACAGAGTTAGTTCACTAGCAGCTAGTCAAAATGCGCACTAGCGGCGAGTAAACTAGCTCCGTGATATCGAGCCTTTAGGATGATTTTGATCGAAAAGTCAGCATCTACTTGTTGATGTTCAATAATCCATTCCACCGACTCTCCTCGCTGTTCATGGTTATAGGCTTCAGTTGTTGTGTTCAATGAATTTTGTAACCATGGAGGCACAGAGTATACGCTATAGAGGGCTTCTTGAAATTTGCAATTCTTGTCCACGACGCCGAGTTGACGTCCCTGGGTTTTCACCAACACTCTCACGCATATTTTGTATACAATTTTCGAACTGTGGACGTTAAACTTTCATTATTTTTGAAATATTGTTCAATAATGAAAACACGTTGTTGTATCGTATAACGCTTCATTTTTACTAACCCAGCCTTTCAGCTGTCAAATCATTTTTTCAGAGCTGCCTACAATTTACCTACTGCAACATGGCGGCAAATTCAAATATTGCGTTAATTATGGGAACCCCTTTATACCCAACTAACAATTATCACTCCTATTAGAGTTGCAAAAATGATTATACGGTATTCCTTACACAGCATTGTATACTGTAAGAACATTGGCAAAACCCTTTTAGAACAGCTATACAAGCGGAATGGGCACACCTAATAGGACACTTCAGTCATTTAAGAGGTTGTATAAGGGCTGCAGGTAACAGTTATGCAACAAAAGTGTAAGCCTCTTGCAGCCGCTAGAGGACATTTGCGTCAGTTTAAGATTCAGTTTTTGTCAACGATACAACTATTCTGTTACGTGATTCTACTTTATTGCAACCAAACTATTTCTTATGTATTGTATAGACGAAGTGAAGAATATATAACTAACACATTACAGTCATCTTGTTTACTTACATATCGGCCATTGTGAATTTCATACACAGGTATATGATAAACTTCTACACTGCTACACTGTGATATAGAGCTATTGAATTACTTGCGCAGCAAATTTTATTGTGATTATCGTGCAAAGTAGTTACCCAATTTCTACGGGCTTTTTAAGATGGAAAACTAAACTTATCTGCGTTAAATCTTCCACAAATCCTTTATTTAGATACAATTACACTAATGTTTATCACTTTATATCTGTAATTTCGAACTGAAACATAATTATTTAATATTAAATAGAGGAATACATGTTTGCCCAATGTGGCGGGTGGTTGTGTATAATCATGGCATCGTCCATGTTGTCTTTAGTTTATTAGAATATTTTGGCATATATACAGCCTTTATCAGTTACTAAACAACAGTTGTATAAGTGCTTCCGTTGGGAGCAATTTGTTGGCTAAAGTAGTAAATTGCAAAGCAAAACAACAAGGCTCCGGTTTGTTTTATAAACGTTACCATGGATGCCACAATACAACCATTTTGACTAACGTGCAAATATACCGTATAAAATAGTTGTATAAACGTTTATGCAACAGTTAAAAATTTGCCCTATAAGGTGTTGTATACTTATGCTATAAGAATATTTTAAACACCTCATTTTGGAGCAAATATGTTGCAGAAAGCAAATTTGCATTCCACACAACATTAAGGCAGCATTTTGGTGTTCAGGCAACAACAATAGAGAGTTTTTATGGCTGAACGGTTCTTTTGCCAAAAGCTTATAACACTACGTTGCTAGTTGGGTATCATTAACAAGAAGCAAAAAAGGCAAGCATTTGACTCCATAATGTTATTTATACTACTGTTATTGAGCACTAAAAGCGACTTTTGTGCATTTCAAGAAGAAAAGGAAGGATGGAAGTCAAATAGTGTTTGAAAGCTATGAAAATCCCATAGAAAATATTCGCAGGAACGTCAATGACCAAAATAAAAAAATCGTACAAATAGAAGTACCCAGCCCATACTATCCACGGGCCACGGTTGACTTGTGACCATGAACGCAAATCGACATTGGCATCATCATCATCATTGGTATAGTTTTCTTTCATATGCGATTTTGTGACGGTTCTTCGTTATTCCTTTGTGTTTTCGGTGTATTTTTGCAAGCCGTTGATGTTTAGCTGTACCTCCCAAATACGTTTTGGAGATTTTGCATGTATCCTCGTAAGAAGGTACGTAGATTAGTTAATCGACGTTTCAGCTGCCCACGATAAGCCTTTCAACTTACAAATCATTTTAAAATGAATACGTCAAATTTGGAAGCAAAAACTATAGCCGTTTCTAACACTACCTGCCTTTGAGTTAAGTTGATAATTCAAAAATTGGCAAAATAATTCAAAAAAATAATCTGTTTGATATTATTATATGAAAACCTAGGAGAATACATATTTAGGAGGAGAAAGAAATGACAAGGGTGGATTTTATTACATTATTCTCTTGTTTTACAAACCATTCTGATATTATCTCATCCTTCATAATAGTTGTTCAACCTTTAAAAGTAGATAACTGTCTGCTTCAATTCTGTGCTGTGATAACTATTACTTAACCAATGCAATGGCCACTCTGTGGTCTACATAAACTTGCTGCAGGATGTTTCACAGAAAAGTTTTATCATTGGGTGATTTTACTCTTAGCTATGTACGTCTTGCAGATACTGATTTAATGCCAATGTGAAATCAATATCTTGGTTTTGCCAAAGTCTGAAGAATAAACTAGACCGCTAGTAAATATCTTGCTTCAATGATCAATGATATAAATGTGATGATTTATCTCTGATATTGCACATAAATAGTCGCAATGGAAAATACATCGATATCGTAACAAAAACGGATTGCAATCAACAACATCAACATGTCACTGACACTTTCCTCGTGATTCAAGCCCGATCTCGTATAGAAGTGTTACCACTTTTACTGCAAATAAGTTGTTGATATTCTACATAATTAACCAATACGGTAATACAGTATCGTATAACATAAGCATATACAGCCATTCACTTTCGCTTGTCAACTTAGTGTACAAAGAAAGAATATGTGGTTTCAAAGGACACGTATTCTTATATTAATAGTGTTTTGGTAGTATTTTTTATAATTAGTCGAAAAAACATTGTTTAACCTAATATTTATGCCAGAGAACATTTTATACAGAAATCCCTAAAATAAAATAAAAAAAAAATATTTTTTCAAACTGATTTTTCTGGAATTTATCTTATTATTAAGTGGTGACACTAAAAAGGACCGATTTAAAAAAATGCACACGTAAATGCTCGAAATATTGAGATGCGGTTTTTGCGAGCTTGTTTAGATGGCATTTAGATAGTTTTTTATAAACAAATCAGACCAATACATTTAATTTTTTTGAGGAATTCAACCATTTCTGTCGGAATGTCCTAAAAACCCTCAAGCGGCCACATCTGCAAAAAGCAAAAATTGTCAAACAAAAACGTTCACATTATCCTCGACTTTAAAGATCATGTATATTTGTTAGGTAATATAGTCGAATTCACAGAAAAATCACTTTTTTAGATTCAAGATTGCAGTTTCGCTCCTAGCGGCCATTTCAGAAACTTGAAAATATTTTCCAGGTTTTTCTCTTGGCCGTTTTAGTGAGAACTTTTTTTGCAGCAAACCTCTACAATAGATAGGTTTCCGGATACAGTACCTCGCACTCTTAGTTGGCCACCCTGTACACAGTAATACTGAAATTTTAGAAGCATTTAATATTGTTTTCTATCACGTATACAGTAACCGACATTGTTATAGTTTATAGTACTATATACACTTAATTTAGTATATTTTTACATTTTAAAATATCGGTTGAATAGATTGGCCTTTGGCTAGACTCCCCCATTTTCATCATACTTTAAGGGTGGCGACCACCAAGGAAGAGATTTCAAAACTAAATTAGTATGTTGCTAAAAGTATATGGAATTTGTGTTGAAATCGGTTCCGTACACGGATGTCGTAAAACTATATAGCCCGACTATTAAAAATATCAACTAATAATTCATAAATAAAGTCGTCAGATTTAGAAATTTTCAACAACATACTAATATAATTATGTATAATAATAATATTTATTTACTCAATGTACAAAGATAACAAACAATATGAGTAAATAAATATAAAATCAAAACAGGCCCAATAGAAGGCATCGCCTGTACATGGACCAATAATTTAAGTTGAAACTGTAGAATGCAAATGACAAAAAAGGACAAAAATTAGTCATAGTAGATTATGTATTTAGTTGATGTTCGTATTCATGAGTTTATGAATTTCAGTCCTAGATATAGAATGTAGCCACTTTTTTAAATTTCTTTTGAAACAATTTCCGAAACGTAAATCTTTTAAGTCTTTAGGTATAATTTCATAAAATTTAGGCGCTAAATAGAGATATGATCGCTGCATTATAGATTTATGCGGTTGAGGAACTACTGTGTCACGAATTTTGTACCTGGTATAATGATTATGTTTAATTTTTTGGTCGGTGTTTACAAATTTATGGAAGTGAGTGATACTGTGTAAGAAATAAAGCTGTCTTATATCATACATTCGAACATCTGCGTATAATTTTTCAGTGGGATAAAGTTTCGGTTTTTTAAATATCATTTTTAGAATACTTTTTTGAAAAACATCTAAATTATAGATATGTGAGGAACATGCAGCTCCCCATGCTAATATACCATATGTGAGATGAGGCTCAATCAGTGCATGGTATAATGTTCGAAGATATTTTTCTGTCAATATATTCCCAAGGTATTTAATTTTGTAGGATACAAATCTAACTTTCTTTAAAATATAATTGACATGGATGTCCCATCGTAAGTGAGGATCCAAGACCACTCCAAGGTATTTTATGTTGGGCACTCTATTAATTTGCATTTTTTGATCATTAATATTGAAGGAGAAATTTGTGTAATTTGGCAGATGTCTAGCATAAGATCCAAATGGTAAAAAATGTGTTTTAGAGTAGTTAATGCTTAATTCTCTACTGTTAAACCACCGAATAATTTTGATAAAATCATTTTCAATTACATTTTTCAGATCAGACCAGTCAGAGCCTTCATATAATATTGCAGTACCATCTGCAAAACTAGTTATTTTGCCAACACAATTAATTTGGAAAATATCATTTAAATATATATTGAATAACAGCGGACCTAAGACAGTTCCTTGTGGGACACCACACTTAATATACATTTCTTTACTAAATGATCCTGATATCTGTACAGATTGTGGGCGATTTGACAAATAACTTTCGATCAGTGAGTACGCGTTTCCTCTGAAACCAATTCTCTCCAATGCTTCTAATAATAATTTGTGACTAACTGTGTCGAAAGCTTTCTTTAAATCAACAAAAATGCAAATTGAAGGGATTCTGTTATCAATATTTTGATATATTTGATTTACAATTTTAGTTATTGCGTCCGATGTAGCCTTCCCTTCTGTAAATCCATATTGATTTTCACTTAAAATTTTGAATTTTGTGAGGTATCGAATCATTCTAGTAGATAAAACTTTTTCAAAAACCTTTGCTACACTGGATATTATTGATATTGGTCTATAGTTGTTAACATCTGTTTTTGTTCCTGATTTATGTATCGGTATTATATTACGTTTTTTTAAAATTGAGGGATATATGCCAGATTCAAAGCATTTGTTGATTAGGTAAGTGAGTGGTTCTGTTATGTCCTCGGCTATAATTTTCAAATGCTCGCTTTTAATACCATCGAACCCAGGACTTTTCCGATTTTTTAAGGACATAACTGTGGTGTATACTTCACATTGCTCGACTTTATCCAAAATAAATGAGTTCAAAGTTCTTTTTGGAGGCTGAGTATTTTGTACATTTGCTTGTATATTACTTGCTAAATTTTCGCCTATGTCAGTAAAGAATTGTACAAATTCATCGCATATCTGTTGAGTATTTTTTAATACTGATCCCGATGTTGTATTTAATTCAGTGACACACTCTTTAAATTTTGTTTTCCCAGTAATCTCATCAATAGTTGTCCAAAGCCGCTTAGGATCACTTAAGTTATTATTCAATTTATTTAGGTAATGTTTTCGTTTGGTTTGCCTTGCAAGCTCTATAAATTTATTTTTATATTGGTTGTAACAGTCGGTATTCTCTGTAGTTGGCGTTAGTTTCATTGCATTATATAGTCTTTCTTTTTCTATTGCATGAATAAACGAATTGTAATTTGAGTTCTTGAATTTATTTTAGGAAAGATATCAAATTATTTGAATACACGTTTTCTTAGTCGGAAAGCACCGTCGCGTCGCTTGGACTGGCAGGACGAAGCAGTAGACGAATTTCGCCCAAAAACCGCTTTGCGCTTCACAGCTTACGTTTCATTTTTTATTATTTCCAAATGAAACTCTTGCAGCGTGCTAAAAACAAAGTCCACAGGGTGCTAACGATCCGCTTTTTCGATTTTATCCACTAGGATCTTTTTGAAATATCAAGAAGTTGAGCACAAATTCGATGTCAGTAAAGAATTGTACAAATTCATCGCATATCTGTTGAGTTTTTTTTAATACTGTTCCCGATGTTGTATTTAACTCAGTGACACACTCTTTAAATTTTGTTTTCCCAGTAATCTCATCAATAGTTGTCCAAAGCCGCTTAGGATCATTTAAGTTATTATTCAATTTATTTAGGTAATGTTTTCGTTTGGTTTGCCTTGCAAGCTCTATAAATTTATTTTTATATTGGTTATGTATGTATGTGTTAATGATGCAATAAAGACATTATTGCTTACTTACTTAAAACTGTTATCCAAGTCTGCAGGGTTATTACGCAAAAAACCTATAAAAGGTAAAAAACGACAAAATGTGAACTTGCTACCTAGATAGTTCCTAGTGTCCATACAGTTCATTCCGCGTTTGGTCGCTATGAGTGCTGTGAGCATCATCAAAAGCGTCCATCTATGGAGGAATGACTCAACGACATGACACGCTCAATGACCATACTGCAAGCTGCAAGTCAGTTCATCATGCTTTGTTGGTTGCAGAATGCCAAGATAGTCTGAGAAGATGTGTGGTTGAGATGCAGAGTAGCAAGATCCCAAGATGATTCTGTGTATTGGTCTGCATGTGTATAAAATCAGTGATATTTACTATGTGAGATAATTATTACTGAATATGCTCCCCATGAAGTACGAGTATAT